AATAATTCTGTAGCAGTTCTTAGCTGTGCTCAATCTGTGCAAACCAGCTTCTTATTTATTTTTAGTAGTATCAATACTTTTTACATCTATTTTGAAATCATACATTTTAAATTTAACAACTATTAAATTAAATCACCCACTCATTATCATCCCTTAAAAAGAAGAATTTCCTGCAAATTTTGTGTATCTGCTCGATGTGTGTCTTTGTCCTTTTTACACCATGAAAGGAGGCCCAAGTAAATGCACAATTTAAGAATGTCATTGATAATATGTATTATAATAATGTATCAGAATAATAATGATTAGCACCATCATATGCATCTAATAGATTAAATATTGGATTTGGGATACAAAAAAACTATGCCCATTAAAGCAGCAAAAATATGAAAGCATCACTACACAATGTAAATTTATTTTCTCATTTTCAGAGATTCAATTTTCTGATGTTCTATAATGATTTGTTTCCTATCATGGAATAACAGTTTTACATTAGTATTATTACATTCGTATATTAGTATTACATCTACTGTCATATAGTCTACAAAACAACACCAATAGACCGTTAGGTTGACTTTTATTGTTTTAGCCACATATAGATGATTTGGAATCAGAAATCAGACTAACGAGATGGTTTTTGGCAGCCTAAGTATAGCATCATGCAATGAATAAGTTCTCTTTGTATAGTCAATGATGTTAATAAATAACCACTTAAAGTTATCCATTTGATTAATAAAATTAATGGAGCATTCCTTTAAGAGGGCTTTGTCTGTGCTCCAAATTTTAATTATGCCATTGGTTCATAATAACAGACTGTGATTGTAACCTGTTTTCCAAGTTACTTTAAAAAATTGATTTTGTGCCAAACTTCTTTCCACATTACACTGGATATTCCATTTTGTTTCAGACTTACTATGGTACTTCGATCCATTTTTTACCTGCTTTTCCAATAAATAGTCACAGGTCAGACAGACACACAGACATGCACAGACTCACACCAGGCCAAATTTCTCAGATCAACCTACCAATTAACCAATTAGCCAATTAACCTACTAGTATGTTGTTGAACTGCAGGAGGACACCCACGTGAATACGGTGAGAACATACAAACCCTACGCAGACAGCACCCCAGGTCTGGGATTTAATCCAGAGCCCAATCACTGTTGCCATGAAAAAGGTTAAGATATCTTTCTAATAGTGTCTAAGGCCAAACCGTATTGTATGCAGGGTCTGTGTGTCCTGGTTGAAGTCCAAGTACAGCTGTCCAGAAACACAAGCCAGAGGACACAAAAGGGAACTACAGTACATGTACCTGTAAGTGCATTTAAAACTGAGAACAGCCGACACTTTACCCGAAGGGTTGTAGGAGTATGGAACAAGCTACCCAGTCATATTGTTGAAGCCAATATCCAAGATAAGATCTTTGGATCAATTAGGTACTAATTACCTAGGAATAGATGGAGCAAATGGCCTCCTCTCATTTGTAACCTTTCTCATGTTATGTGATGCCAAGCACTCCAGCCAAAGCTTTCCCACCAAATCCCGGAAAACATTTGAGATCCATTATGCCAATGATCTGCACATTACAAAAACTCTTCTGAGGGAAAATACACTATCTATCATTGCTAGGTTTTTCATTATTTTGGCTCAGCATCTAAGACTTTAGTATTTAGTATAGCGTTTATCTCTGTAAAGCTTTCCTGTTGGAGCTGGACAATAAAATGAATGTGATCTGGAAACAAAATCTCTGCAGTTAAAATATCTGCAGGAATCGATATATCATATATTGTGAATGTTACTTTCTGAAGTAGTAATTAAACTATTTAAAAATAATACTTTAAAAATTAGTGCACTTAGATTTCCACAATACGGCTCAAACTTACAAAAGCATTTTCTGTTTATGTTTGTTCATAGGGATGGGAGGAGCATGTTTTGCAACCATATTGATTCATACTCCTTTGAATACTAAATAAGATTAATACAGTCTCTGCTCAGCTTAAATTCATCATTGATTAAATATGATCTTCAAACATAACTGCTCCCATAAAGCAATGTACTGTATATTCTACAATACTATACTATACAGTGTACCTGTGCTTGAGTTCATAACAGCACAGCTTCCTCAATCCTGTCCTTTGAAGCATTTGGAGCAAATTAGTAAAAGAACGTTCAAGTCTTCCTTTTTCATTCCTCCTTTCCTCATAACCTTTGTGCACAAACTAGTATATACAGTATCTTTCCCTTATCGATTCATCTATATTTTTGTAGGTCTGTTCATCCATCCATGCCTCAATTCATGCATTTGGTTGACTGGTTGGGATTCTGCCTATATAACTAGTTTGCTAATTGATCTAAGGATCTTATCCGATCAACAAGCCTGTTTGCTTAAAGTTGTCATTGGCTGCATAAAATATCCAGGAAGTCCTTATAACAATCAGTTACAACAAGAAGATTGCCTAGCCTGTTTCATACTCCAACAACCCTTTTTGTAAAAAAGTGCATCCTGTTTTCAGTTTTAAATGCTTTTCCCCTAGCAGTTAGTTTAGATGAGGTGCAAACCACCATATTTACAGTTCACACTTAAACACCCAGTCAATACTGAAATATTTATGCTTGCAGGCTTTATCCCAGGAATGTACTATATTGATAATGACAATATTATCCTTATGAAAGGATCTCTTGAGGACTTTTAGCCAAACTTCAATCAATTCACATAGGTTATTGATGTAGTAGGTCAAGCTCCACATCTCTGTATAAAGAGCTCATGATATATAGTTATAGTTTCACATTTTTTGTGTGCACTCACTGCATATCAGGATATCTAGATACAATGGTACTTTACCTTCAGCAGCTTAGCCTTTGATGGGCCTTGAATGTTGGGCTTGTTATAATGTATGGTTTACTCTAGTGCCACTTGAAAAACTAACTCTGAAATTCTGAGAAAGTATGGATTTATTTTTTAACTGACTTTGAAAAATAATGCTGGCTTCTAGGAAGATTTTTACACAGGGTATTTCTTTTACTGTTTTATAACAATCAATAATAACATAATTAAAAAGAATAAGAATAAAATACATTGCATTAGGTTTATTTTGGTTATGTACAGCTGTATATTTGTGAATATTAAATATTCTGAATATAAGGCTGGCAAATTACTCCATTCGTTCAGTTTCTTTTCTGTTGGTGTACAGTAATTATACCCACAGTTTTTAATGTGTCTGCCAAGTGTAATTGCATGGATGCTGTCCATGCACCTTCTTAAGGTAAGATTGTGATCAGCAAAATGACTCACAAACAGTATAGACAAAACAAATGAAACACTTGCATATTGCTTCAATTCAGTCTGTTCTCCTGAAAATGTCCTTTTTATTTCCTGTAATGTTTTAAGTATACCATGGGTAAACAAAGAATTGTGCATTGTTTCGTATCTTGTGTGCGTTTCCAGTGATAAGAATTTAATTGAAAGACAACTTTAGGTGTCTGTCACCCTAATCAGAAATGCATCAGATTTATCTCCTGGCTTCCAGACAGACGTGTAGAGAATTTAAATAGGCAGCTTTTATATATAATTAAATTGATATAATTGGTCCATTATAAGAGAGGCTTTAAAATTTTTCATTCAAGCCCGTGATGGTGATAACATGTGCTCCGGATAAAAAGATCTAATTCCCCTTCTTGCAGAAACAATTTCAGATAAACATTGTCGTTTCCTTTCTGGTTTTTTATGCTTTCCCTACCCTTTTTCATTACATGTATATACGAGTCTCTCATGACTATTGTTAATCTATATGAAACTGTAAGGTCTAGCAATGTACTGCTGCCACCTTCTGGCTGTAGTGAAGCATGACAGTCTGACCTGGAACTCTACAAGATTTTTCTCTCCAAACCTTACTTATTAACAACCAGTTCTAAAAAACATGTAGTGCCATTATTTAGGGGTTATTCAGATTTAGAAATGAACCCCTACCAGTTACAGTTACACCTACTTCCTCCTTCCCTTGAGGTAAAATGGAAAATTACCCAAATTAGTTAAACCTAATAAGCTAAGTGGACACAATGCGTCTCTCTCATTTAAAGTCATTTTTATGTTCTTATGTAAGATCTCCAAACTTTGAGCACACAAAAAAAAATGGAAGAAGAAAATTTCTTTTGATTCAGTAGTTTTCTAAACAACTTAAATCTTCTAAATTGTCCTGAGAACTCCTGACATTTCAAAAAGAGCATCAGAGACTAAATCTCTTATACACTGACAGGCTAAAGGAGATGTCTATTTTTAGACCTGAACAGAGAGGATAACAGGGGGACCTTGTTCAAGTATTCAAAATCCACAATGGTTCTGTCAAAGGCAGCCCAACAGCCCAATGAAACACAAACCCGAGGACACAAGTTGAAACAAGAGGGGAAACTAGAACAATCTATCTATCCATGTTGCCGAAGCTGACAAATTATGACAAGCGGGAAGCTTGGCATCCGTTAGGAAAGATTTGGCTGACATCCTCAGATCAATTAGCTACTGGAACCAAAGAGGCAGATGGACTGCAGGGCCTCCTCTTGTTCGTCACCCTTCTTATGTCCTTGTGGGTGCTCTGGGGGTTTAATGGCCGCCTCTACAGTGGCTTCTGGTAAAATTCTGGAAACTGCATTACTACGCCATCATTTGGATATCACAGTAAATGTCCGCGAACATTATATTACAGAGCAGCTTCACAAGGAAATTTGAGTTCATGATGGATTAGGTCTTTCAAGCTCTCTGAGAGAAGATTCATTTTACTAGAGCTCATAATATGTTAGTTCACATTAGACTCTGACCTCTAGATGTCAAAATGCTAAAAGTGCTTAATGACACCGAACATCAATCAAATTTCTTTTTACATTTTTGAAGGCAATTTTAGTTTATGGAAATGATCTGATTTGTTTGAATATTAGCAATTAAACACAGCTGTTCTTCTTTTATTCTTCTGTGGATGTTGATACTGTTGTTAAACTGTATATCATTTTTAAAGCTGAAGCAAAGCGAAGCAAATGCTGACACCAAAGAAAAGCTTCCCTTGCGACTTCGCATCTTTGAAAAATTTCCTAACCGGCCACAAATGGTGAAAATCTCCAAGCTGCCTTCTGATTTCACTGTCCCCAGAATAAGGTAATATAGAACAGCTTTAACCCTTAATTCGTCTTTTTACATATGATGTACTGTATGTCTTCTACGAAAAACTATACAGTGCTACTTGTCAATGGTTGGCCACTATATTAAGTTTTTTTTATTTGTTCATACCTTTTAAGGAGCAGTAGCTTCTAGCTGTCAAACACCTCTCCTCTGGTACTCTAATCTAGTCGAAATTAGGGACTGAATCTTTTAAATGAAATCTTACATGTACTGTAGCTTGTGATTGAGTTGGATAATGTGTTGAGTCCTCCAGCTCAGGATTTCTGTTTATATTGGAAGGTGCCCTGGGACTAAGTGCAGATTGCATTGCTTTATATTAACTACACCATAATAGCCAGCAAATATTGCTTTCTACCCTCCTGTGGACTCATTGAGATCTACTTAATAAGTTATCTCCCCATTTAATTGCTGGTCAGTAAATGGTAAAAATGAGAGAGCGATGCAGGAAAGTCTAATGTAGATGCTGCAGACTTTTCTACTCAGACAGCCAGGTTACACTGTTCTATTTTTTCCTCCTTGACTTACAGTAGTCTTTTGCAGGTGAATCATAACACATGCTAAGAAAAATCAGCAGATCAAATGTTGTGCTGTCAGACCTTCTAGAGTAGACCTTCATCGTACATTTGAAAGTTTTTTTTCTGATTCAGAGGAAAATAGCATTAGATTCAGATATTTGTTTTTTTGTGAGTTTGAGCATCTATTGCGGTCCACCTGCAAAAATTAAAACTTGAATGTCGAAAAATAGTTGCAGCCTTAAGGTTCTGTGGGCGGTTTCGGACTGCCTGGGAAGAAATATCAAAGGACACTGATGAGGGACATAATCAAAAGGCTGGTGATAATGGCTTCAACTGCACAACCCACGGACTATTTCACAGGAAATTACTTATTTAAAAAGAAACACTGCAGCTGTTCTTTGCAAATTTCCTTTTAAATAAACGTTTGCAAATCCATTTAAATAAATACTTGAAGTACTGTAAGATGTGGCCTTCTTACCCACAGTGCACATTTCTCTCCATACCATTGTTGTTTGCAAATGCAGTACCACTCCATTGGTTTTTTATGTATTTGTCCTTTTTCTCTTACTTTAAAGCTTACAAGTTTTTGTGTCTATGTGTGTGTGCTTGGCTGTGTTTCAAGGGAAAGCTTCATGAAGCAGTTCATTGATCGACAGCAGCAGGACACTAGCTGTCTTCTCCGAAGACTCCCCTCGGCTTCTTCTTCCTCCTGCGATCACTCGAAGAGGTCTGGAATAGAAGATAACAAATATATTGATCAAAAGGTAACTTAATATTTTGTGTCATCATGCATTACCCCATGAACTCAATTTACAGCAATTTCCTTTAGGGTTTGCTCTTACACTCTTAACCATCGCCTACAGTTTTTCTTTTTCAAACTGTCCCTGTTGTAGAACCAGACACAATATTCCAGGCTTCAGCATTTTTATTGAGATCATGACCTGGTTCGAACTTAACACAGTGTGAGGCCTGCACATGCAAAGCAAGAGGGTTCTTGAAAAGTGGCGCGCTCACATGTTCCCTTCATTTGCTCTTACAAACTATTTTGTTGGACTGCAGCTGGGTCTAACCAGAAAAAAAGAATTGATTCTTGAGAAGCATACTTTTTAAAGTATTCTGTAATTGTTCATTTTCCATTGCTAAACATGATAAATAACACGGTATGGGATATTCTGTCAAAAAAAAGACAATTATTTTGATTATTTTATATACAGTAAATGCTACGTATTTTTAACAGCCTTTCTCAGTTTTTTTTAATTAAAATAAAGCATCTGGGAAATAATGCAGGAAATCCAATGATACAGTTAGTTTTTGTTACTAATGCTTATGTTTCTCCTCAATTTAGTTTATTCAAATCTGAGAGAATAAAGAAAGAGGCACCATCTGGTGGAACAAAATGGTAGCAAACAGTAAAGGAATCATTCTTAATTGTGTGAGACATCAGGGCTTTTCTCTGTGCTGACTTTAACAAGAATTGTACCTAATGGTTAAAAATTGTGTGCTGTGAAAACAGAGTAAATGGAAATGTTTATGAGGCCAAAGTACACAGTGAACCCATAGAACTTATCTTTTTAATCTTCTTAGTATTTTCCAGTGATGCCTGAACCACTTCTGAGGCGTATATAGGTACATTAACAATGAGGATGTCTCTTGCTGTCCAATTATTGCTATTTGGAGGCTTCATTACATTCACATTGTAATAAGTGCAGTCGGACCCCCAAATTGAAATTTTATGCCTTTTGAAATGCCTTTAAAAACACAACTTGTACAGACCATAACATCTTCAAACTTACTACTTGAAAAACCTACTAAGGGCAGTCTGAATGTCATGAGACCTTTTACATAGACCTATGGAAACAGTGTATTATTACAGTGTACAGTAATGTTTCAAAACTAATTATCTCATTGCAACAAATTTTGTCTACCTTGGGTACTTAATGAGTCGTTTCTTTGCATAAAAGGGAACAGTGTCCATTCACAATAGTGGAAGATTTATTTGTTTTGAGATATTAACAACTGATCATATATTATTTCCAGAAGTATGAACACTCTTGTTATACAGTTTGTTTGCAGATCAGTGATAGTACTGCTTAATCATGGGATAATTTAATGATGTTTATTCTGACACAACAAACAAGCCTGTTTTTAACATTCACCATATAAGAAGATTACAATTAAACAGCTACAAGACTTAACTTATCAAATAGTGTGCTAAAAGCATTTCTTTCAAAATTATTAATAACCTCAGTTCCTGTCAGTAGGGTACTGTCAGATTCTTTTACATGTTGTAAAGGATATACAGTATACTTTATACTGCATATACACGTTTTGCTTCATTTAATTTCAGAAAACTATTTTTGACAAATGTCTTTTATTCTCTTAGGGTACTCATATAACCCTATAGATTTTAATACATTGGGTTTAGAAACAGACAGTTAATATGTTGACAGTACCAGTTTTGGTTTTGCTGTTTTTTATTATTTTGTTGGTGGAATTTACTGTAGTTCTAGGTATTTTAGATTATTTTCCCATTCTTTCTCAAAATACTGTAGGCCTACATGATATTTTTACTGTCCACAAAGCCAACAAGGGTATTCTGAGGTTAATACTGCATGTGCATCTCAAAGTGGTACCCTGAGATCCACAATCTGGACAAATGGTTTTTAAACGAGTAAACAGCTTTTTGCTCTTCACCCCACTGAGTGTCTAATGCTACAAAACTTGAGCTATTATCTCACAGCTAGATCTGGCAGGTTGCTAAAACACACCCTGGATAACAGAGCTTGGTGAAATGGCTTTTCATTCTTGATGTGGCTTTACAGTGGAATGTTGGGTTTTACTCTATAGCCTTATTATTTTTATTATTGTTTATTTTCTTAATAGAGACAGTTATCTTGGGTATCATTTTTGAATATCAGGTTTCAGATCCAATTCACACACATCGTTTGTCAGCAATCTGAAAATGATTTTAAATGTCAAATGGAGAAAGAGGTAAACTGTTATTTGATTGTTTTTTATTAGTTTTGTAATTTTCCACAAATACTGATTTGACATTGAATAAACAACAGATTACATTTACCATTATATTTACCAGATTATATTTACCAGAGGGTTTGGAGAAGCTATGAACTGAAAGTTTTCATTTAAATTTTACACAAATTTGACTACTTAACCCATTTAAATAAACAAAGAAATATTCCAAACTTAACTGCTTTTGAGTTAGAATAGGATTATGATAAAGCAGATGTGGTCCAAGATGTTGTTGTCTCCTTTGTGGCAGCAAATTCATTTAACATTATATTTGTGTTCCATAGAAATTCGTTTTTCCTCATCAGATTTTGTTTTTGCTCATAAAGGAATCCCTTTCTGTGGGATGGCAGTAAATGTGTTAGCTCAATTGACCAGATTCTGTGAGCTGCAGCAAGAAAAGACAATTTACTCTGAGATGAAGGCAATACATCAGAGTATTGTCCTTACAGGATGTTACAACCACTTAAATGTTTATACAGTGAAAATGCATATTTATCAGTTTTATATTTTTCTTTCTCCTAGCCAGACTGTTGTTTCATTCAGTGTAATGCATTATTCTTTACTGGTGTATCTGATTGAATAACTGAAAAGGCATATGCAATGCTTCTTTAACAGTATTTCTTGTTCTCTCTTCTGACAGTGAGATGGAAGAATAGAGTTGTTTTCATGGTTTTCTGTACAAATGAAAACAGCTCTACTCTCTAGAATAAAAATAATAATAATTTAATAATTGCTTACACTTATATAGCGCTTTTCTGGACATTCCACTCAAAGCGCTTTACAGGTAAAGGGGACTCCCCTCCACCATCACCAATGTGCAGCATCCACCTGGATGAATACTTGAGATCACTTGAGAATACTTGAGATCACCGATCCTGTTTTTGATAGCAGTTTTCTTTTTTGTTCTTGGCATTTCTCTTTAAGCCTGTTGACATGGCAGGTAGATATTTAGGTTTCATTAGGTCATTTTTTACACAGTAACAAACATTTCACTCATCAATATCCTTGCCAGACACAACAAGAAGGTCTGATTTGGCAATCCACTACCTATTAAGAGCTTGTAATTGTAATCTAATTGACAATCTAAGTAATTTAAGTGTACAATTAATGTAAAAAATAAATATTTGTGGTGTGGTTCAAGATCTGTTTCTAATGTGCTTTGCAATATCTTTTCAGTCCAAGTTAATATTTTTTTAGAGAAAGTAGACATATTGTATTTGGCTTTGTATTGATACTACTGATGTTTTTCCCTGCTATTTTAATTATGCATGTAACCCAATTAATTACTCTCCAAAGACTACTGCATTTATAATTTGGAGTAAAAACCATGATAATGTACTGGAATATTAATTATGCCTACCAGAGTAAAGTTCTACTCATAAATATGGTAACACAAAATTACAGATTTTCAATGTTTTTTAATTTAATTTTTGTACCGTGAAAAGGATTTCCTTTGAAAATCTACAGAAAGCAATAATTGGTTTTTAGTGTTATAAGGTCAATGTGTTTGTTTATATATACAATATATAAATCAAGGCAGACTTCAAACATACAGTTCCTGACCTTCAAACATACAGTTCCTGAGTAGTAAAGACATACTTTAGCCCCTCCTTTAAAAAAGGGTGGGAAATAGAAGACCCAGTATAAGCTAAAAAAGGCATTTCAATACTGTACTGTAAATATTTGGGACTGTTTTACTGTTATTCACTGTGTAGTTCTACAGAGGTAAATATAAAATTCAAGTTTTAAAAAAAGCATCTTTTATTTCCACAGCTACGAAAATCAATATCCAGCATTCGAGCCCGGAATCTCTTAGAAAAGGAAACTACCATCAATAAGACCCTTCGGTAAGAACAACAACAACAATTATAAAGTCGAAGTGTTAATAGCATAAAAAACAGGGTTACCTATTCACCTGAGGTGAATTTTAACTTATCGGATCATACGCTTTTAAATAAAAAAAATGTATGTGATGATACGGGAAGAAAGATAAATATTGGAGAAGTTGTTGGTATATTACCTAAACAATTGAATGTATTAAAGTGATTGAAACGATAAAGAATTTGCAGAAGAATCTTTTTTTGTCTTTTATTTGGTACTGACGTCAGCCAGGATATTAGCATTTCCTTCTTCAGGCAACTTACACTGTATTTATGAGGGTGATGGAACGAATGAATAATAATTACGTGCTGGCAGAGTTGCAATAGCAACCACGTAAATTAGCTAGGCTACATTACTTTTTCCGTTTCACTTATTACATGTTAATTCTGACGAAGAGGTCTTTAGCTGAATCAAAGTCTAGGCCCTAGGCTTCAGCAAGCTCTTTCAGTAAGAAAGTTTCGCCTGTATGTGACACAAATCTCTGATGGTGAGCCTTTCCCACGTATGACATGACATACTGTATGTCATATCTCTGTCTCCTCTCCTGTCTGAACACCTCGGCAACAATAGCGTAAACAAAAGTGGCATTTACTCATGAAGCCCATATAATAATTAGTTGTTTTACAGTACATGACTTGGCAATTAATTAAAAGAAAGGAGCCTTAAGCAATGGCATAACTGATTAAATAATTATTTGTTTGAGAGTAGGTTTAGATTTATAGTCTGTGGCTGGCATGAACCTCTAAGTGCTGCAATAAATAATGCATTTATACCCTTGCCGCTCGTGAAGGCTCTCTGGCATAGCTAATAAGCCTCATGGGGACATTAGGGGAACATGCTGCTGTTACCATTCCCAAGCCCACTAAGGGTGTTAATGGCTGACTGAGTAAGAAATATAGATTATGGAGTGCCTGTTAGAATTAGCACAGAAATATTAAATAGCAAGCCGTGTCACCAAAGACAGCAGATGTTATCCTCTCTGCAAAATTGGAGCTGGATGTGTTATGCGAACCGTGACAGGTATCTGCATCTTCAAAAGTAGAGTCAGAAATGACAGTAGGCTAGGGTTTTGGTTTGTGCAGAGCCATGACACGTTAAAATGAGCCCCTCCCAAAAACGCCAAAAGTGGAACAGCTAGAATTGAATGTGCGTGATCGCTCAATCGGTTTTGATCTAGAATTGATCACTAGAACCTGCTTGATTTTGAGAGTGTTAAGCTATAATCACGCTGATTGTGTGCTCAAGCAGCTGCCTTTTCCGGGGTCACTTAAGAACACTTTGCTTTTGTAATCAAGACATTTTGCCAAATGAAAAGGTTTCTGTCCCTCCTTGCAGGGCTTGTACCCGACAGCGCATGCTGAGCGGGTCGTTCGAGGGCCAACCTGCCAAGGAGCGTTCCATCCTCAGCGTCCAGCATCACATCCGGCAGGAACGCAGGTGCCTGAGTCAGCACAGCATGTAGAAAAGGGGGGCATGGCCATACAGCCAATTTGCTGTATTTAGAGGAAAGAAGCCACTAGCCTATAAAGCACTTAAAGGCAAATTACTTATGTCTCTTGTGTATATTTTAGAGAGAAATGTGGTGTCTATTACAGTGAATCTCTCCATAATAATGCAGCAACTCTGTTAGCCTTTACATTTCTGCAGCTCTAGAGTTCCCTTTACCCTCTGAAGAGCATTGTACTGACCTGAAATGTCTAAGGCTCTAGATCGTTTATTCTCCTCCTGAGAGCATTGTACTAATGATAACATATCTACAGTATGGCTCTAGATCACTTTTTTCCCTCCAGAGAGCATTGTACTAACCATAATATGTCTATGGCTCTAGTTTGCTTCTCCCCCTTTTGAACCTTTTGAAGAGCACTGTATTAGCCATAACACATCAACGGCTCTAGATCGCTTTTTCACCTCTGCAGATCATTGTGCTAACCCTAAAACGTCTGCAGCTCTGGATCGCTTTTTCCCCTCCAAAGATCATTTTACTAACCCTTGCGCTTCTGCGGCTTTAGATCTCTGCGGCATGGCTCAAACAGCCAGAGAATCAGCAGAGGGAAATCCCTGGAAACACTGACTCAGGATGTAAGTTGAGAAAAAAAATGGTTTTATCTTCATCTGACATACAGTAGAAAGGGTGTTAAATAATAATGGTCCTACTTCTACAAAATACAAGAGAACCCTCTTTTCTTTTTGTCACACGTGGGTGTTTATATATGCACACTGCATACATACATTTAAGAATATATACAGTACATTTATGTGCAAGATTGAAGAAAGTCACAGAGGATAATCACAATTAAGAATATTTTTATCCTTTTCCTCCTTCAGCACTCCAGCACTGTGAGGTACCGGAACGCTCAGAGAGAAGACAGTGAGATTAAAATGATCCAGGAAAAGAAAGAACAGGCTGAAATGAAACGGTATGAGCGGTGAAACATTTTCTCACTCTCTTAGACTTCAGAGATGAGTGGGAACTCAGTACTGCTAAGGCACCCTACTTTGTTAATGGTACCACGCTGTTCAGAGCACTCAGATCATTGCCCTTAATTTCCTCTTCATCCATCAAATATTACATTGTGTGCTAGTGAAGTGCCGATATTGAAGTGTTTCCACATGGTGTGTTTCTCTGCCATCATGTATAGTTGCACGCCACTGAATGAGCACACTGGGAGCCCATTTATCACAGCAATGTCAAAAATATGTACACTGGCTTCTCTTTGAAGGAATTATCAATAACATTTGCATCAATGGTTCTTAAATTCTTCATTTCTAATGTGTTACAGTATCTGTATTTAATTAGAGCGCGATAATTCCTCATTATCATTATTTTTATACTTCTTTAAATTGTATCAGGAGATGTTAATGTCCGATTCCTTCTTCCCAAAACACTGAAATTCTCTTCAAGCATGTGTAGACTCAACATTGCAGCAATTTGTTGAGGGGGAAAAAGGAGTTATAAGGATATGTTGCACCTGTTAAACAGTAAATAGTTGTATTGCATTAATTTGACATTTTT